TAATATTTAGATGGTCAATGTGGAGGGTAACGGTATCCCATATATATATCACCGTAAATAATTTTCAAAAATATAGAAAATTTAGACTGTATTTTAAATAGTGACGATCAACGAACAATTTTCAATAAAAAGAATATAAATTCTTTTGATTGAAGAATCTTTTGATTTTTTTGTTAAATGTCCATTTAAATTCTTATTTTGCATAATTATTGATCCATTGATGATCTAATGGACGTACCAAACAATGAAATATAATAACCATTTAAACCTTACTCAATTGTACTAATGCATAGTATTAATTAATGATGCATATTTTAAATATGTTCATTTTTTATTTTTTTTTTTGCAATTTAGTAGAGAACAAATTACTAGCAATAAAAAATTATTCCCAACATATAACAAAAAATTAGCTCTTTTGAAGCTTTCAATCAGATCTATAGAACTTGATATTGTATTAATATAATTGCTATTATTTTTGTCTCTCTTTCAGAGAGTTGTGACAAGTTTAATTAGATATTCGACGTACGTTATGTACTGAAAATTATTGAAAAATGCTCAATTGTCAATTTCTCAACAGAAAAAATCAAAATAATTTTCTACTGATATAATACGAACTAAAAATGAACTACTTAACGACATCCATGTAGTATGTTCAAAAATATCTATTAAGAATTAACTTTAATCGACAATTGATATTTAAATCAATGATATCAAATAGTTCAAAGGAATGTAGCTATTTAAGCGAACCACATCTTAGCCCCTGTTTGGTACACATTAAAATTTTCATTTTCATTTTTCTACTCATTTTCAACCACACATTTTTCAATAAAATAATATTTTCCTTCACATCAATAACTTTTTCTTCTTTTTCAACCACAAGTTCTCCATCAATCCACTATTCCAGAATACATTCTTCCAAAATAATGTGGACCAAACACACCCAATTAAAAATTTAAAATTTCGATTTTGAGCAAAATTCAATAATACAAATAACATGCTTTTAATATTCAAACTAAATAATTTAGATTCAAAACTTGACTTTAAATTTTTCTTGTAAATCGTGAATAAAAAAATATGAATTTATCAATGTAAATATATATTTACCACATATCCAAATTTCATATTCTCAAAGATGCGGAAAATTAGTATAACTAATTCCCCATGAACAAAAATATTCAAGCATTGTATTAAAAATAATAATAACAATCAATACATGATAAATAACAGAATTTGCATTTAATCAAAGCTTATTTTTTCTTTAAGGTTATGAACTGACAGTTCGCAATCACTTCTCATCAAGATGATCAAATTTCATTAACTTATCAAAGAAAGCTAAACAAAATATTTGTGTATAAGACACAAGAAAAAAAATATTATGATACTTATCGTCACAGGGGCGGATTCAGGATTGGATCTAAGATCGGGCTACAAAATTTCAAACCGGGCTAATACGCGAAAAAAAAAAAATTTTA